GGTTGGTCTTCATGAACAAAAGAGAGTTTTTCTTAGTAGTGAAACTCACAGACCAAATAGAGATTTCCTAAGATAATCCCCCAAAACAAACAAGAGCTTTTATTAGTTTAGCTAACAACCAAACAACTTCTTAAAGAAGAATATTTTACTAAAGAGATAATATACTATTGGTAAATTACAATTAAACCCTCACCCATAACAATGATTTTCACGTAAACACAAGAGTACTCTCAAAGCACTGATGAAAAAATATAATTGAAAAAAATGAGAGATTTATAGAGAATGATGAGAGAGTGAGAAAGTGTGATCAAAGCTTATTTTTTTGAGTAAAATAAAATGATATATAAACTCTCTATTTATAGGCTAAAATTTGGTTTAAATTTGGAAACAACAATCCATGAGCAAAATGAATGTCATAATCAATTAGGCCAACGATTATTAACCCTTAATAATCATCTGTTCAAGCCACAAATGAAAGATTTTGATATTTAACCTTACCAATTATTTAGAGTATGTCCTAATCAATTTTATACTCAACATGCTAAAAATAATTGATTAGATGATTATGACTAATTGATTATCTAGTTGTAAAAAGCCCTTAAATTGATCAGACAATCCCCTAATTAGTTAGCTAAGGCTTAAAAATATTCTCATGTGGTTTTACTAAAATAGGATAAACTTCTCAAAGGTTTTTAGAGAGTGTGTAATTTTGCCATAGTGTTTTGAGAAGTACATTTATGCCTTTATAATACATTGGTCACTCAAACAAACACAACCAGACGAGTTTTCACACTTTCTCTCTTTCACAACTCTAAAGCTTCAAATATTGGTTTCAAGAATTTTGAGTCTTCTAACTTGATGAGGCTTGAGATACTTTCAAGTTGATTAACATCATATGAGAGTTGAAAAGTCAAACCACCAGCGAACCTTGAAATAAAAGTTTTCAATTGAATGTCATTTGACAACCATAATGTTGACTTTAAAGAGATGACTTGATCTTAAAGATCATCTTCAAAAGAATAGCTTGATAAAACATCTTTAGTATGTTTGACTGCTTGAGTTATCTTTAAGAGATATGAACTTCACTAAATATTGTTTGATATTAAATGTTATCATCAACAAGACGAATCATTTAATCGGTTGATTGCATCTTTGCTATCGACACACTTCACCACCTTGGATCAACCTGAAAATACATGCAAGCTCATAGATACACATACCCCCCCCCCCCCCCCCCCCCCTTTTGATGATGAAAATTCATCACTCAAGGAGGTGGTAAATGAGAAAATAAATGAGTAAAATTTAGAGTGTTTAAACTCCCCCTCACATGAGTATAAAGTATATTATACTCTCTATAAGAGTACATTTTCCCCCTTTGGCATAAACAAAAAGACGAAAAAAGATGCTAGATAAGAATGATAAATATGCAAGCAGATAGTTCACATTGATCACACACAATTTAAAGGGAAAACAATTCTTCATTAAATTGAGATAAAAAGTATAGATAGTAGGAAAATGCAGAAAATTAAATACACTTAATTTCTAAAAAGTAAACACATAAGTGAGACAACTACTCGTTGTTACTATTATCATTCTCAACTATGTACTTTTCTTTTGAGTTTCTTATGAGAGCAACAACCTACTTAGATATCTTATAAACTACGAAGACAATTACTTGAGAGATCATGAGGATGACGTTCATAACTCCTTCAGCTGTTGCATGCTGAACAATTATATATTCTTCTTCCTCTATGAAATCATTCTTTAATTATCTTCAAACGACACAAACCTTTATCTTGCTTAGGCATGTTGAGTTGATCTGGTGGTGGAATGAGTTAATATTTTCTTCTACAAAATCAATTTCCGCTCTAACTAGAATCTTTATGATCAAACTCTCATAAGATAGCTTAAATGAGTGATTTTATCTGCAAAAGGACATGTGATTGGACATTCTTTCTACCCAATTTGTTAGATGATATTTTGCTAACCCACAAGGAGACTACATCCTCTCTTACAAGAACTTCAAAATTTCCTTGTTTAGAAAAAAAATTTGAGTGAGCATATAATGGGCAACTTGACACTTAGCCTCGAAGAACTTCGTTTTGGGGGGAAATTCTAAATATATTTTAAAAGCATTAATAGGAAACGAATCATGCTAAGTATTATAATCAACAAATTTTTTTGCATTGACTAATTTATCAGCACAAACAATTTCCTTTTTAAAAATGTGAATCTCACTTAAACCCGTTATCATTTGGTGTCAAAATTTTCATACTTATCTCTTAATAACTCATCATAGACGATTAATTAAAGGGTTAAATATGTTTATAGTCCTCATAAATATTTCAATTTCGTTTTTAGTTCATAAAAATATTTTCTTTAAATAATGATCCTCCTAAAATCTTTAATCCACATTTTTGGTCTCTCCTGCAACTTAGCGACGATTTTTACAACTTAGTGACACAATTAACGACGATTTTAGTGACAATGTTTAACTTAGCGACAGTTTTAACGATAATTTTAGTATTAGGGACCAAAAATTTAGAGAAAATTTTTAGGAGGGCCATTCTTTGAAAAAAAATATTTTAATGAACTAAAAGCAAAATTTGAAATATTTAAGAGAACAATAAACATATTTAACTCTTAATTAAATCATTCTAATTTTTAAATTTAAAATTATTAATCAAATATGTAAAAATTCATAAAATTTAAACTATGTAGTAGTTCATCATAACTTTATATTTTTAACGTGTAATATGTTATTTAAAACAAATCTAAAAATATAGCAATGCATGTAAAAATTATTAGAGATTTTATATACATAATTATGAACATAATATATAATATATGATTCTATGAGAATTGAGTTAAATAATTGTAAACTATTGACTTATAATTCACTCTCTGATAATAACATTTATTTATCTTTAACAATTGTATCAACAAATCCTAAATTATAAATAAAAATATTTAAAAATTGATGTATCTAATGAACTAACTATTAAAAATTAAGATTAAATACATTAAACTAAACTAATATGTTACATCTTAAAAAAAAAAAATTAAATCAATCCATTAGATCTATATTTATGAAAACTAAAAATTAAAAACCATAGTCAACCATAGTTAAAATTTAACCATAGTTAAATTGGTTGGGTCCCATTGCATTATAAAAAGTAGTATGTTTGGGTTAAGAGAACAAAACTATAGAGAAAAAGAAAGGAAAATGATTAACCAGCAAAGCAAGAGGCAGTAGTAGTAAAATTGGGGCAAGATAGATTCTTCACAGTTCGTAAGGGCTTTGACAGATGGGTCACTGTACATCGTGACCGTCTTCTCAGATTCAAATTTCTCAACGTTACAACCTTTTTCTCCAATTAGGTAATTCCATCTGTTCGTCATTTCATCAAACACCTTGTGCTATGTCTTTTGCTGTTTTAACTTTTCGTTTGATTCGAAACGCGCGCAAGTTCTAGGGTTTCCATTTCTTGATCGGCGAGCTCAATTGCGATGTTCTTGTGAATTTTAACCGTTCCTGTTTGTTTTCAATTGTTCAGCTCCTGTAGATCTGTGGCGGGATTTTGTTAGCTTCGAAATTCGTGTCCCAAAGTCACAGGTTGGTTTCCGAACATTCCTCACTCTGTCATCTCTTTTTCTTATGCTGTTGTTGTCCTTTTTTTTTCTCAGGAAGATTCTTTTAAGAATTTAGATTTTTTTGTGAGAATTTGGATCGTTTGGTGGGTTCGGTGCTTTTGATTTGTGCTTAATTCACTCACGCTAGTTACTATGTTCATGGAATAAGTTATTTTTTTTAAACTGGGCTTTGTAAGTGTATGTTTGGTTGAGTTTGCAAACAGAGTAGTTGATTATAGAATGCCATTTATTAACCATATTCTTGTGATTATAACTGGAAAAGGTGTTGCTATTTTCGTCTTGGTTTTGTAAACAAGTTGTAACTATATGATTTGTTGCAGTTTGCATTTCATTTTAATGTCGAGCTGTCCTCCATATCCAACACATGCTTTGTTTAAGGAAAAAATAAAGCCGGTCTTACTTCTAGTGTTGCTAAAAACGTGGTATGAAGAGAATTGTGATATTTGTTTTGTTAACGTTGATGGGTTCTGTATGAGTATTTGAGTAGGATATTTTTGTATACATTGACTGTCTTATTGCTATACCATAAAACAATATAATTATGGAGAACAATCTGAAGGGGAGCTTATGAATGTTCACATTTTGTCCCAAGGTGTAACTCAAGTGATTGAGTTGGGAAATCCTAAGGACTTTGAGAATGAGGCTCAAGATTCAGATCCTAACTACAAACATAATACACTAACGACCAGCATTTTTCTATAAAAAACTCAAGTTTACCTCTTCTGCTCTTTCAAAGTGTACTTGATTATTTGTTTAGGCATTATAACTATATAACTCAGTGCTACATCAGTTCTATGCATTGATAGGTTGGATTAATTGCCAAATATCTTTCTGCATAAGTTCCACTTGAACTATAATTTATTTCTCAAATTACGTTGGAACCATCTTGTTGGACTCTGTTTTTCCATTTTTCTTCATTTGCTTTAATGCTGATTTGCTATGTTGTAATTTGAAAAAAATGACACTTGAAACCTGTCTCTCTTTGACACATGTAACATAGGTTGTTCCATACAGGTGCCCATAGAAATTTTCTATGATGCTAAATGCAAGACCCCAAGTTTAATTATTAAAAACTGAATATTCTTACAAGTTGCTAACATGATTTAAGAAATCATAGTCAATTTTCTGTATTAGTTTAGAATATTGATTTGTGATGCATACTTTGAAGTTGCTCAACACACCTAAATCTCGAGAATTTCAGTGGTACATCTCAGCTTGTTTTTCTGTTGGTTCAGGTACACGAGATTTCTTCATGCAAAGGTGGCTTGCTACAAACTCCAGTCTTCGGGGGGTTAAATCATTTGTCTTTTAGCTAAGTGTGGAAGAAAACATATCATAAGTTTTAAATGATGGAGTGCAACAAAGATGAAGCAGTTAGGGCCAAAGAAATAGCAGAGAGGAAATTTTCTGAAAGGGAATATATTGGTGCAAAGAAGTTTGCTATTAAGGCTCAAAATTTGTATCCTGATTTGGAGGATGTTCCCCAGTTTTTGACCACTATTGATATTTATATATCTGCTGAGAATAAAGTAAGTGGAGAAATGGATTGGTATGGTATACTTGGAGTGAGCCCATTTGCTGATGAAGAGACTGTTAGAAAGCAGTACAGGAAGTTAGCTCTCACCCTTCATCCTGACAAAAACAAGTCTTTAGGTGCAGAGGGTGCATTTAAGCTGGTTTCAGAGGCATGGAGTCTGTTATCAGATAAGACAAAGAGATTAGAATATAACCAGAAGAGGAGTTTGAAAGGCTTCCAACATAATACTCCCAACCGTGGGCATCCATCAGCAGCTCCTAGTTCAAATAGTTATTATAATTTTAAGAAGAATGCATCTTCAAATGCGAGGACTGGGAATAATAATGTGAGGGTGCCTGCAACTTCTGTTCCTCCTCCTCAGAAAAAGGCTGAAACCTTTTGGACTATCTGTAATCGGTGCAGGACACATTATGAATATCTCAGAGTTTATTTGAATCACACCCTTTTATGTCCCAACTGTAATGAAGCTTTTGTGGCTGTAGAGAGGGGTCCTCCTCCCAATGTTTTTAAGCCATCAAATTTGCCCTCCTCCCATCAGCAGCACCAGAATTCTCGACGTCATCCTGCAAGTAACAATTCAAACCATCTGTGGGGTTCCCACTCCAGAATGGCTGGTTTTGGTAGCACAGATGGATCGTCATCTGTTGCCGCCCAAGCTGCAAGTGTTGTGCAGAAGGCAAGTGAGAAAGTGAAGAGAGAAGGGGTACCGTCAATTGCTGAATGGGAGAGGATTCAAATGTCTAAGAGGGCTGATGGTTCTATGAAGAAAAGAAGGACAGATGATATGCGTGCTAATGGTCATCCAGGATATATGGCAAATCATATGGCTATGGGACATGGAGCAGCAGGTTTGGGCAGTTTCTCTGAACCAGGAAAGGTTAACATGGAAAAAGAAAGGATTTATGGTTTTTCAGGTCTTGCAAACAAGCATTACAGCACGCGAGAGTTGTCAATGTATGAGTTACGAAATATGTTGGTAGATAAGGCACGGAATGAAATTCGTAAGAAACTTGAAGAATGGAAGTTAAAGGCTGAAGCTAGGATTATCAACAAGAACAAAGAGAATAAGAGACACAAAAATACGCATAATGACAAAACAACCGGTTCAGAGAAGTATAGAGAGTCCAATGTTAATGGTAATAAGCATGATTCTTTACCTGTCACATCTGATGATACAGTTAAGAGGCAAGCCTATGTTACAATCAATGTTCCGGATCCTGATTTTCACAATTTTGACTTGGATAGAGCTGAAAGTTCCTTTGCAGAGGATCAGGTCTGGGCTGCTTATGATGATGATGATGGAATGCCTAGATATTATGCTAGAATTCACAAGGTGATCTCCATAAAGCCATTTAGAATGCGAATCAGTTGGCTTAACTCTCGAAACAACACTGAATTGGGCCCAATAGAATGGGTAGGTTCTGGTTTTTATAAAACTTGTGGGGATTTCAGAACTGGAAAGCATGAAGTAACCGAATCATTAAATTCATTTTCACACAAAGTTAGGTGGACAAAAGGCAACAGAGGAGTTGTGCGCATCTTTCCAGGTAGGGGAGAAGTCTGGGCACTATACAGAAACTGGTCTACTGATTGGAATGAACATACTCCAGATGAAGTGATTCATAAGTATGACATGGTAGAGGTGCTTGATGATTTCAGTGAAGAGCAAGGTATATCAGTTACCCCCCTTGTTAAGTTTCCTGGCTTTAGGACAGTATTTCGAAGGCACCAGGACCAGAGTGAGGTTAGGAGGATTCCTAAAGAGGAGATGTTCCGATTCTCTCATCAAGTTCCTAATCACTTGCTCAGTGGTCAAGAAGCTCATAATGCTCCAATAGGCTGTCGAGAGTTGGATCCAGCAGCTACTCCTTTAGACCTCCTTCAGATAGAAACGGAAGCTAATGAGTCAGCAGGTAATGTTAAGAAACCCTGAGCAACACATAACCTACAGTTCAGTTCTTCTGAAGAACATGCATTTTGAATAGGAGAGAGGATGCTTCAAAACCTTGTAGAGCAGAAATGTTCAAACGAGGATGACAAACAAAAAATGGGATGGTAGATGATAATGCGCAACACGGTGTGAACTTTTATGCAATAGGCTTGGGAAATTCAAATTAAAATTTGATGAAAATACACCCTCTTACTCAACTTTTTGATTTTGTAAGTCCAACCCAGATAATCTCTAGTGTCTTTTGGTTTTTTGTTGTATAATTTTTAGACATGTTATTCCTAGACTTTATATGGAATGTCCATACTCATGGTGAACACAGTTATTACTCATCAATCTTCAAACAAGATGATTATACTGTTGTTTTAGAATTACATGCTTTCCTTGCCTGTTGATTTGCTTTTCCAGTTTATAAACAGGCCCATTCGATTAATGAGTTTTACTTCCGTCTAATTCATTTGCTAATTGCAGTTTTATACGTGATTCAATGAAGCAGTTTTACTTATTTAAAACTGCACACAATGTAGATTAAAAAACTGCTCATAGTTTTTTATTACAACTTCCCGTTTTCATTTTGATTTGTATATGGGTCTGTTTGAAGATCAATTTGATATAAAAAACTCCAGTTGACAGCTATCATGAAGTATGGGTTGGTGAATGGAAGATTGATTACATACCAAGTATAAAGTTGGTTGGTAATGGTCAAGTTACATATTTTTAGTTTGATCCTTGAGTGGGACGATAGCTGCCTAAGAATTCTTAAGTATGTTCTTTAGTATGGCATGTAATAAAGATTGGGAAGGGAAAATGAGACTATGTCAGTAGGAAGAGGAGTAGGAATTTGTTGGCTAAAGTCTCTTTGCTGGAAACTATGTTATATGTTTGGGTGTGAAATCGGAACTCGAGAATGCTATTCAGTCATAAGAGATTACCATATGATTAAGATCAAGTCAACATAGATGGTTCTTCAACTTGTGATGTTATCTGGAACTAATTGTGCCTCATAAGGTCTTACTTGCATGGAGGCTATTTAATTACCTTCAAAGATTCAGATGTTGAGTTACTCTGTTTAAATCTTATTTGTGAGAAATTAGAGATATCTTCGTGCCACCCTGCATATACCTGATATCCTACATATTTTCGTAATACTCATGTTTTTTTCTTTTTTTCTTTTTTATTTTATTTTAAATATAGTAAACACCATTCCATTAATTAATAAACCAATAGGCAAAGATCAAGAGACATATAAGATAAGACATACTTCATTCATAGTCTAGGAGCATCTAAAAGTAAAAATTACATACACATAAAAAACATTAAACATAGTTTAATCACAAGTTAAGTTAAGAAGACACAATCAATCTAGAAACAACCACATGTCATCTATCCATCCACTCTCTTGAAAACACTAATAGTGACAATATATGAATGAGAATCCATTGTTTTTTTTTTTCCAAATCTAATTAAGAATGATTTCTTTGATTTGTGTTTACACATTTCGACTAACTTTAGTATTAAACACCTGAAGTGCAGACTTATACCTCAAAAGACAAAAGCAAAACATTAACAACACTAAAACAAAAATAAATTGATTTGATAAAGTAATAAACTGGATTCATGACAATTTTGGGAGAGGGTGAAAAGTTGCTAACATCAAAGGTTTTGGAGCAGATTCAATTACACCCACCATTGTTTAGTTTGGGATGGTAAGAACAACTTTAAGAAGCTTTTTATTTTTTAGTGGTGCTGGCTCCGGTGACGATCGCGTCAGTATAGAGAAAGAGAGAGGCATCTTGACAGTAGTTTGTGGTGGAAAGATAGGGTCTCTGATGAGTGACTTAACTCTAATAGAACCATGAGAGTGAGGTTAAAAGAAAGTGATACTATCCTTCATAGGGGAGGTAACTACCACAAATATGAAAGATGAAAACCACTATGAAGGCAGGGGGCGACCACCATCAAACCCTTGAGATTTGACGGGAGGTTTTCTAGAGATGAAATTCTAGTAACAGACAGTGGATGATATGTTGGATGTTATGACATCCACTTCTGAATAGATTATTAAACTTAATAGTAAACAAGTAATGAAAGAAGTAAAGAACACACGAAATTGTTTACCCAGTTTGGGGCAAATCACACCTACTCTGGGGGCTACCGAGGCAGGGAGGAAATCCACTATAAGCAGTGTTAATTCATAGCTAAACTACCAGTTTGCACTCTTCACTTAAGACCTACCCAATGCAATTTCAATCTAACTCTAGACCTGAGTTCCTACTCACTCTCCCTCAATCACAGCAGTGATATCAATCAAATACAGAACAAATTCAAAAAGGAAGACACACTTCAAACAAATCTTGATCTTGCTTAAAAGCTTCAATCAAGAGACATAACACTCTTGCTTAAAAGCTTAGAGTGACACAACCAAAACACCACTCAAAAACGACACTAGTCCAATACAATCATCAAGGTGATAATTGCTTGACTCACAAGAAAACCTAAGGCAAAAACACACGTGAAGATATAAACACCCAACCATAATTCTTCACACCAAAATCTCTGAGTCTTTAGTATGGATTGCCACTCTTCTTTATATGCAGCGCATGGGCCTTGGGCCTAGGTAGCATAAATTAGGTTTAACCAAGTTAATCCAATTTCCACAATTCAAGGTGCTAAAAGATAGGATGTAGCGTTTCCTAGAATATAGCCGGAAATAAAGTAGAAAACCTAACAGAAAACAAACCAGCGCCCACGCTGGCAGATACTTGATGTCACAACATTCAGCGTGACATCTAGTAAACTCTGTATTAGCTAACCAAACATATCCTGCAGAACACTACACAAGTATGTCATGACATCAGTCAAGACATCTACACACATAACAATGTTTTACCACAAAATGCAGCCAATCAAGAACATCTACAAACTCTCCCTTTGGAAATTTTTTGGCTAAAACAACTTGTCACCATATCAGAGAACACATGCAGCAGACAAGAGCATAACACACAACCAATTATGAAGAATAGCTAATACACTACCATCACACACAACCTGCTGTACTACCATATCAGAAAAACTCCAAAACCAAAAAAACTCCAAAACAAGGAGAGTAAACACAAACTCCCCCGCAACAGATTCAAAACAGCCCAACCTATAGAGCACATCATCCCACCCTACCTAGGCTACTCAAAGTTCAAAACTGAACCAAGCACACAACTAACAAGAACATGAACACAACATATCAAAACAGAATAGTTGATCACATAAGATTTGTTCTGGGGTGACATCCTACTCCCCCTGTTTGGCCATAAATGTTGCCAAAGCAACTACGAAATTCTGATTAAGTACAGACCATGATCAAAAATAATTTTTTTATCATAAGTGCTCTAGTCATCAGACTCAGAGCCATCACCAACACCATCACCATCATTTGCTTCATCAGTGCCATCATCAGGACTGGCAGTTGATTCTTCTTTGTCTGATTTAGCTTCATTGTCATTACCTTCCTCAGAACCACCATCCTGCTCATCCTCATCGTTGTCAGCAAGCTCAGCATCTTCATCCATCTCAAGTGAGCTGATCAACTTTTCAAGAGTCAGCTTTCTTGTCTTAAGCTCCTTGCAGGTCTCCTTGAGCATAACAATGACTTCAGCTTTACCAGTTTTTGAGCTCCCCTTGGATGTCTCAACAGAAGTCATGACAATGTCAGGAACATGAGTTCCTTGAAACAACTTGTGATGAAAGGACAGAGGACTTTCTCTCTTGCACACAGTCATTGTCATTTAGAATATTAGGATATTGGTTCAATATGATACCACGTATAATATATGGGAAAGCAATAGGGCCTTTCACACTGTAACTTCCTGCATGCTTCATTGTTTGATCAAAGATGTAGAAGCCATAATCAAACTTTGCCTTGGTTCCAACAACATATATGAATTTTCCCAGGACAGTAGCAATAGTGGATTTGTGGTTTGTGGGCACCCAGTTTGCAGCTCCAATCTTATGCAACATTGCATACTTCATTAGCTTACTAGAAACCAGTTTCCCTTTTAAGGGCCAGCTTTTGACTTGGTTGGCAGTGAGGACTTGACATAATTTGTTGTCAGAAGCAGCAAGGTCAGGTTGAGCTTCATCAGATCTTCCCAGGTAATTGTTGATAATAGTTGAGGAGAAGGTGACACACTTTCCTCTCACATACACTTTTCTAAAATCCTTTGACTTTCTATCAGCACCGTCTTCTGATAGATTCAAAATGAACTCCTTCACCAGACTTTCATAACACTTAGAAAAATGGGTAACCGTCTTCATTAACCCAACTTCATGAATTAGACCCATGATTTCCTTACACTCAAGAGCATTCTGAGCCAACTCCCTTTCCAAGGCCAACCTCTTCTGGTAAACATACTTCCACCTGTTGACAGTAGAAGGATAATGAAAAGAGATATTATCAATAGGTACCTCAGGCACACTAGCAACAAGCTTGCTAGTTGTTGGCTTCTTCTTGGGAGGGATGTTAGTGACATCACGAGCAACATCAGAGTCCGAGTCAGATTCAACAATTATTTTAGCCTTTCTTTTCTTTGGAACCACCTTGCTCCAAGATTTTGTGGGGCCAACAACAATACTTTTTGCTACAGTTTTCTTCTTGGGTGGACTTTGAGCAACAGTCTTCTTTCCTTTCCTTGTCATGAGCCTTTTGGCCATGCTAGGGTTGATAGATGCTATCAGTTCATTATCTGAGTAGTCATCAAGATTCACCACATTTTCAATATCATCATTGTTATTGATTTCCTTAGCAATATTACCATCTTCATCAGCATCATCATTCTGAACACTATCATCATCGTTACCAGCTTGTACATCATCATCATGCATAGCAACATCATTACCAGTTTGAACATCATCATCCTCATCAACAGTTTGAACACTATTATCATTCTCAACAGTTTGAACATTATCATCATTCTTTCCTAAGAACTTATCCATAGTTTTAACAACTTGATTAACATCAGTTTCTTGATTAAGGTGGGGTTCAGGAACCTTAGTGTTAAGAGGGATGGATATCCCAGGCACATCATGTTGTTCATTCAAGATACTGGAGACTAAGTTTG